GACGCCGCGGCCGCGCCGGACGCCGCGCCCGACATCTCCGACCCCTCGCTCGACGCCCCGTCCATGCAGGACACGGCGTCCAGCAACGGCACAGAGGCCGCCGTCACCGCGCGTCTCGCCGAGCTGCGCTCGGGCGAGCTGCTCGCCCTCCTGCTCGCCCCGGACCTCGACGACAGCCTCACGCCCGGCGCCATCATCGGCTCCACGAACACCGCCCTCTTCCACCTGCTCCCGCTCATCCTCGCCGCCATCCACCGCCTCGGCGAGTCCAGCGCAAAGCGCGACACCTTCGTCACCCTCATCTCCGTTCTGCGCGCCAGGATTGCCGCCTGTCGCGGACTCAAGCTCAGGTTTTTGCTCCTCATTAAGAACGCAGGCTTTGCTAAGCAGTGGGAAGTCAAGCTCGTGCATCGCAAGGATTGCTACACGAGCGCCAGGCATGTCCTGGATGACCTCGCTAGGGATTTGAAGAGCCAGAATGAGAGCGGCCGCAGCTTTAAAATGGCCCGCTCTTTGACGCAGGTCGACCGTGCGGATAGTAAGGATGTGGAGGGCTGGGTGGACAATACGGATATGGTCATTGCGTTTGCGATTAAGAAGCTGCTGCACAAAACCCGTGGCATTCGCACGCGCCCAATGAAGTGGCATATGCGCACCGTCAAGAACGCCTTTCATGGGGCGGAACTTGTGGACGGCATCATGGAACGCGCTAATTTTACATATCGAGAGGAGGCGAGGATGCTTGCGCAAAAGCTGGTCGACCTTGGTATGGTTCATAAGATGGGCTCTCGCGCGCAAAAGTTAACCGACGACAATAGAAAGGTGTATCAATGTCGTATTGCGTTGCAGAGGGATGACCAAGGGCATTGTCGTCTTGTTACGGATAATGGGGTTATCAAGGAGTGGGACAAGGTGCTATGTGAGCCGTTTACAAAGGTATCGCAGATTGAGATTCAACTCGCAATGGATATGATCGACCTTCAGAGCTACGAGTTTTGGACGAATTCGGTATACATCAAGGGCGTTGAGAAGGGCCATCATTACGGATATAGGGCGGTTACGCACCCACTCCATTGCCTCGGTTCAGACATTGACTCACACATAGATACAAGCAAGGCGTTGAGTGACGACCCGTTCCTCTCGGAGGACAGCGGGCTCACCGACGGTGACGACCTTTCCGTCAGCTATGGCGGGATTTCGTTGGAGGACATCAATCATTTGCAAGAAGATGCCGCTGTTGTGGGGTCGGTCATCGTACGCAAAGTGTTTGCCAGTATCGCGCGACCCATGATCGTGGAATTGCGTATTCCGATGGAAAACGCAGACCTTGACTCTGATGACCACCACACAATTCTTCGACCAGGGTTGCTTGTCAAGGAAGGCGATAACTTGATGCAAGATCTCGGGGTGGAGATCATGTTCCAATGCTTCAACCATGTGTGGGCACATTCCACAGTGTACGCGGACAAGGAGAGTGAAGTTCCTTTCAGTGTGCATTACGAGGTGTTCCCGACTTCACCTTCGCAAGGGTTTATGGAAGCTGTAACTGGACTGCAGAGCTTGAAGAGCTACAACTGGCAGCAATGGAGAGACGAGCATGGGAGTAGTAAGGCTCGAGTCAACGAGATGCTGCGGTCAACCGTGGGGGCTTACGTGGGAACTTACGTTTGCGGGTAAGTTTTTTTGCAGCGATTTGAATGAGGATGGAAGCGTTGATGAAGAAACTAACAAATGATTCTATATGTCTGCGTCTGGCGAATGGACAGTGGGCGAGACCGTCACTTTGATAACGTGTTGATCAAGGACGACAAGCATTTGTTACACATCGACTTTGGGTTCCTGATGGGCACAAGCCCGCCAATTGACGGTCCGCACATCGCGATCGCGCCTCAAATGGAGGCAGTATTTCGCGATCTAAAGGTATGGGACAAGTTTGTGCGGATGTGTGTAGACGCGTTCATCGCCCTGCGACGCGTGGCGCCAGCGATCATCCGGACGTCTGTGATCATGTTTTCCAAAGCCGGATACGAGGAGGAGCAGATCCGGTTGTACCTGCGGGGGCGGTTCAGCCTCAACGTGCACGAGCGCGAGGATAAGGCGGCCGAGACGCTGAGACGACAAATCGTCAACTCGTCCGGCGACATCAAGACACGGTTCAAGGCGTTCGCGCATGAGCACATCGACCCCGCGTGGTACGGGCTGCTAGAGAAGGGCTTCCCCCCCGCTGTCGCCATTATGAGGATAGTCGACGCCAAGGAGCAGAAGGCCGCCAAGAAACTGTCGCAGCAGACGACGGTCGAGGTCAGGGAGGACGAGAAGATTCACCTGCGGTGAGCGAAGGGGTCTATTGGGCTGTGCGCGCAGCGGGAGGAATTGGGTTTTTTCCTCTCAGCGCTTTTCCGGTGCAGAGAGGCAGCACTGTACAATACTGTACGTAATGAGTTAAATTTTAAGTCGCCACCGCTCACCTGCCGCGTGGCACCCGCCACAGATGCTATCTCCATCGCACTGCTGGGAAAGTGTACGAAATACCTCGGCTAGTGTCTATTACTGTAGACCTTTGTCCTCATATGAGGACATTATTCGACCTATTTTATTCTTGACTTGGGCTTCCTCGACAAGAAAGGAAATGATACCCCCGCCACTGTACTTGACTTCTGACTTGGGGACAGAAAAAACTTTGTGAGAATTGCATGTTCTTCCTGGTCGTTTTTAGATGTGTCTGGAAAAGAAGCTTTGTTAAACCACCTTAAAATCGCATGTAAAATTACTTCGAATCCACATACGCCAGTTTTAAAAAGGAGCTATGCACTCAATCTGCATTACATTCTTCATCGATCTGCGTATTCGAAGCTGCTACCCCGGTGTTCTGCAAGATATTATTGGCGAAAACAAGTGCGTTAAGGAAAGTGACAACACCCACAAGGACAGATACTTTGTCCGACTTATCAACCTCATGCAACGGGGCGGCGCTTTTGCCATAGCAAGGACTGCAAATGTGTCTCGTTGGTGCAGAGACGGCGCTTTCCGTCACTGCCAAAGCTATCATCGCAATTTGACCTTAGAAGATCTTTGAAGAGGAAAAGGCCGGGTGTTACCAGATAGAGATTCATGTTCGTCACTGGGACGGGTGCGAAGGCCGTATGCTTTGACGCGAAGAAGGCGAGGAACGTCCGAGTCTGGGGCAAAGTCCGTGTTTTTGTTGATACGCGTGACGTTGTACAAGGGCGGGGGAGGAAAAGGATTCGGGGCGTCGTCGTCGTCGTCGTCGCCGCCGCCGCCGCGGTCATCAGCATCACCATTACTGTCGTCGGAGTTTGAGATCCTCTCGGCAGGTGGACACGGTGAGGGCTTTGGGGTGAAAAAAGGTAGGTCAAGGCGAACGCATTAAGTCACCATGCACGACTTCCGAGGGGCAGGAAAAGTCGGGGTGTGCGATGGTTTGAACGGCAATGCGTTCGGTCCCGCGGTGTTAGTGACGCCGCCGATAAGAACGGTAGTACCCGAGATGATTGTACATTGGGCTGAAGTGCCAACCTAGGATGCGGAGATGAGGCTTCCAGCCCAGCGGGAAGTGGTCTGCCCAGATGCGGTTTCATATAGGAAGACGGCGATGTTGTCGAAGTTTAGTGTGGATGTTTGAGATCAGCAATAGTACGGGGCGAGTTAAAATGCAGATGTTTCGGGTGATAACGACATATCTCGGTGGGATCACCGACTTCTACCGGAGCAGGATCTGGGGAGGCACCGATGGAATAGACGGGGAGATAGATTTGGCAACGGGCGGTTGCACGGGCGTGCAGGAGAAGCAGACATGCAAGCGGAAGGGAGGGACAAGGCATGACAGGGAAGGGCCGCAGAGGATGAGGCCGGCGACGAGAGCAAAAGGGATGAGACAAGAAGAGATGCGCCATGTGGCATGGGAAGCAATGGAAGGATTGCCGTTTGTGTCGGATCTTAGGTGTGTGTATGAGGAGAACGCTTTAACAACAGAATTAGTTTAGTTGAACTGTGGAGCAAGGTAGCATTTGGTAACAAGATGATTCTCTCATCAAAAGGTAAGAGTTGCCTTGTACTCATATGCAACTAAAGATAGACAAGGGGTCTGTTAACGACCGCTGAACAAATAGAAAACGTAGTGAAATAATTACGAAGCAACTGCGCACGAGAGAGGTATTCAAATATGAACACAGACTGTTAACGCGACAGGTATTTGAATATGAACATAAAATGTTCAGGACTCTGAAGGTGAAATGATGTACACGACATAAGACTGCACAAGTTTCACAGTGTGTGCTTGCCCTCACTCGAGCTTGGAGTCTAAGCTGACTCGAATCTCACGAGCGCCTTTTATTCTGCCCTTCTGGTACTGTAGTCACACTACTCATCCAGCTCAACAATTCCCTGCCCTTCACCTCCAGTGTCTATGGGACCAATGTCCTTTGTGAGGTCCCATTTCGTATTTTTCTTGACTTCCGCTTTCCCGACAAGAAGGGGAAAGACGCCCTCACCACCGTACTTCACTTCTGACGTAAGGAAACAGATTAATGAGAGTTCATGCTCTTCCTGGTCGTGTTTAGAAATGTCTGGTAAAGATACTTTCTTGAACAACTTTCAAACCGCATGTAAAATCATTTCGAAACCAAAAACCCTAATTCAAAAAGGCAGCTGGCTGCTCAATCTTTACCAGCGATGTGAACCCCGAAAACCGATGAGGTCCCTATTGCGAAATTTTTGTGTGTGCCATTTTTTCTAGTAAACGTTGTGTACTGTCAAATTATTAGTGAACCGCGTGATGCCCATCCTTACATGGTCACATGTCAGGTCACGTAGAGCTCCAGAGCCCTCAGGAAGAGCCGAAACTTCACTCACCGATATCGTCAGAACAACCATCGGCCAAACGTATTTCACAAGTAGACACACGGAATACGAAAAACTAGAAATAACTGATGTGGTATCGCAGCCCAGATTTGTAATTTGTGTCGGGCTGTGTTGACGTAGACCTTTATGATGCCCCATCCGATGTCGAGATTCTGTGTGCATTGATCTAATTTGCAATTCACCTGCGTTTGAATGATGAGGGCTACAGTAGAGAAAAAAGGGATGATGAAAGGTCAAGGATTTAGAGCTGTCTGTCTTGCTCAATTGACAACCGACAGTCAATTGAGCAAGTGAGAACGGCAGGAAATATCTTAAGAGCGAACTTCGAGCTACAGCGTGAAAGAAAAGGGGTAGGACAGAATAAACATCAACTTGTTGGCACACTGCAACAACTCGCAGCCCTCACCTGCGTGAGATCTGCTGTTCCGTCTCGCCCGACTCACGCTCTTGAGAGCAGCGCAAGCTCCCCGCGAGCATGCTGCCTGAGTCAAAGACACAAGCCCCGTCACTCGCTGCGGGTCCACTCTAGGACCATCCAATCGGACCGTTTATCCGACATTCCGGAATAAAGGATACGCGATCCTTTCCCTTACGGGCATATTGCCAACAGAAAACCCCGAGAATAATAGAAGATACCAACACGTACACTCACCAAGATGAGTACTCCGAACACTGCCCCTTGGGGAAATTTGAAACTTTGGACACCGAAACAAGAAGGCTTACACAACCTCTCACAACCTCTTTCTTGGCTATGCGACAGAAGTCCCATTGCTGAAAGAAGACGCTCTCCTTGCCGCCATTCGTGAAGATGTTTGAGTCATGGGGTTTGTGCATCCGGACATAGTCTGCAACTATGAGGTCTACAAAAAAAATCCGCAAATTTCTCAATGATCGACTTATTAATACCCCTGAGAGCCTCCAGTCCGGTGTTTCCATTGCACGTCGTGTCATATGTGCCATCTGGGGTTTTGATGGGTTCCAAGAGGACCGCCGTAAGGCGCTCGGCGTATTTGACGCTGCCAAACGCGGGGAATGGCATCCAGCCTCCCCATCATCCTGGTCCAGCCACCCGCTTTCACCATTTCCTCTTTCAATTCCCGGAACCCCACGCGGAGCGAGTCCCTCTCCGGGCGCACCAGCCACTATCAACACTGCATCAGGACATTCAACTCGCAATGATCCTACCGCCATCCTCAGAAATGCGTATCGCTATGAGAAACAGAAGTTCACCGGAGATGGAGAGCAAGACTGGTCGACCAAACTTGCCGGCTATAACTTCATGTGCATAGACAACAATATTCGTGCGGTTGAAAAGTTAGACACATGCATCATCTTCTGGAGGATGGCGCTCTACAATTTTACATTAATGAGATTGAGGGCAAATATGAAAACTGGGGTGCCGTAGTACAACTTTTTAACAATCGTTACTCTTCCGCTGCACGCAAGGAGCGCATGTCAAACAGTCTGCAGGCATTGTGCATCGCTACCTTTGAGAAGGGGGGATGCACTGAAACAGAAGCCTTACGCAAAATTATTCAGGAGATCGACCGCCTCGCTGCTATGTCACACACTGAGTGTCAAGCAGACCGTGCAAAGACGCATGTTCCTTCAAACAGCAGTCAAAGGACGCAATTGGGCCTTCATTGTGCTTTCGAACTCATACGGCCCCTCTCTCAAGCACAAAGAGCTCGTCGACCAACTAGAAAACGCCCAGCAGCAGTCCGTTGTTCATGCCATTTCTAGAGAAAATATCACTCCATCCGGATTCCGCCAATCACGCCGGCGGGCACCTGTCAACACAAACTACGCTGGAAAAGGACGATATGCGCGCCAACCTACAAGCATTCGCAGTGTTGTGCCGCGTTCCGGTGTGCACACACGCACTCCGCCACCTGCAACATTCGGTGGCACTGCGTCGCCGGGGAAAATTTAATGCTCCGTACAGTAACCCCGCCGTCGGAACGTGCCACAATTGCGGCCTGCCGGATTGTCGCTGGTTCCGCTGTAAGCAACCCCTAGATATGGAACGCGTTATGGAAAATCGCAGGAAGGCTCGATCTCACAAGAATTCCACCGGAAGTGCCAGAGTTAATACCGCTGAGATTTTACACGAGCTCTCATCTGAACTCAGTGAAGCTCCTTTGCTATCCGATGCCACCCAGTATTGCAGCGACAACGATGAAGACCCTGCGCCTAACGTCGCAAACACTCAATCAAAATTGCATGACGATCTCAAGGAGGCATCTTTCCAGCACGCCCAAAGCAGAGCTTCGTTCGACGCTGATGCCACTGTGTACGGCGATGATTGTGAGTCGGATTTTTAATGAGTGGCTTGTATTGCCGCCAAGTCCGTACACCTAGGCACAAGGTACCACCAGACAAATCGGATCATCACCTCCGCCGTCCAATACCCGCTCGACGGTTCGTTCGCCTCCGTCGATACGCAGGCATCACAAATTGCCCGCACTTTTCGGCGCGCATCCTCAACCGTGCTATGTCGGTTGACTCGCGCACGTTATCTGTTTATGGCTCTAGTCGGTTCTGCGGAGCCTGTTTAGACACTGGGGCTGAAAAGAGTGTTATTGGTTATGCGCAGGCAAAGGCTTACTGTAAAACGTTTGGCACACCAATGCATCTCCAGCCCTCACCGTTTTTCTACAAGTTTGGTGATGGTATCAGAAGCAGCCTCGGAACCATGGAGATACGGTTGCCATTCGCCCCTGGATATTTCGTACCTCTCTCCGTTGATGTGGTCTCAGCTGATATCCCATTGCTCATCGCCCTCGACACTCTAGATAGCCACAAGCTGTTGGCTGACAACGTCAAAAATAGTCTGGTATGCACAACCATTGGCTCGTCAATGCCAATCAGACGCGATCATGGCCACCTCTTCGTGAAATGGCACACACCAGAGGCACTGTTCACCACCTCTGAACTGAGACGTCTGCATCTTCATTTCTTTCATCCTCAGGCGCAGCGCCTGTACCGAATGTTGCGCAGAGCCCGACCAGAAGAGGTCAATGGCGAAACCATGCGGGTGCTAGAGGAGATCGCGTCGGCCTGTCGTGGCTGTAAGCAGCACTCATCGAGACCATATCGATTTCGAGTCTCTATACCGCCGAACACGATTGTGTTCAACGAGGAGGTTGCCTTAGACCTGTTTTGGATTGAAGGGAATCCAATTCTCCATGTTGTTGACACCCGCACAAATTTTCAGAATGTTGCCCTTCTCAAGGGACAGTCTGCCTGCTATGTGTGGTACGCCTTTGTCAAAGCATGGTCTTCTGTTTACGTGGGGTATCCTAACCGCATGGGCGCCGATCAGGGGTCCGTTTTTACTTCCAAATTATGGGAGGATGTTACCTTGATGCATGGTATTGAGCTCCAAATGTCAGGGGTAGAATCGCACAACTCACTTGGTGTGGGCGAACGATATCACGGTCCTATCAGACGCATCTTTCGCGTACTGCGAACGCAGTATCCCCAACTGGATTCCGAGGTTTCTCTGCGGCTGGTAGTGAAAGGTGCCAACGACACCCTCGGACCGGATGGACACGTCCCCTCGAAACTAGTGTTTGGTGTCGAACCCGTCTTTCCTGTATTAAATTCATCTCTCCCTGCACAGAGAGAGCGAATGTAGGCCCTGCAGGCAGCCCGAAAGGAAATGGCCACAATTGCAGCTGAGCTCCACCTCACACGTGCACTCAAGGCTAAGCTCCCACCCGCGACAAAATACAATATCGAGCCTGGCGACGATGTGTTAGTTTACCGTGAAAACGAGGGCGAATGGCAAGGTCCGTATACTGTCGAAAAGATCGTCGACAAGCACGTTTTTGTAGACTGAAAGGGTACGGAGAAACAGTTCAATATTGTCCAGGTTGTTCCCGCACCACAATGCCATGGAGATAAGGCGCTGCACAGACTCCTTGACGGGATGGCCCAGTGCCGATCTAATCCACCTCCCGGTGTTTTTGTCAGTGAGGTACTTCATCCTGCCGATCCCCGTGCACATTCGGGCATGTTTGATGAGGCAAAAAACAGGAGATGGAAGGACTCGCCAAACGCGGAGTGTACGAAATTGTTTGCTGGGAGGACGCTCCCGAAAACGCAAATACTTTGGGCGGTCGTTTTGTCCTCGCAATCAAAAATGCGAAGTCTGAACAAGAAGTCTACAGGGTGCGATATGTTGTCCAAGGATATACCGACACCGAAAAAAACCTATTGGTACACGACAGCACAAATTTGGGCCAATCTTCCATTCGCGTGCTCGTGGGTATTGCAACCATTTTCGGTTTTCGCATCTGGTCCCAAGACGTGTCACAGGCCTACCTACAATCAGTCGACAAGTTGATGAGAGAAGTCTATGTGAAACCGTGCCGCGAATTTAGACTCTCACATAACCACCTGTTGCGCCTCCTTAAGCACCTGTACGGCCATTCAGACTAAGTGGACTATTGGCACGTCACGTTTACCAGACACTTGACGGAAGAGCTCGGTATGACGCATACCACTGGCGACCTCTCTCTGTTTTTCACGGTAATTCACGACGAGCTATCAGGTATTACTGGTGCGTACGTGGATGACATTATACGTGCTGGCACCCCCGCTTTTGAAATGGCCTCTCGACTTACAGAGCAACGATTTCAATCGAAGGAGAGAGAGTTCGACTCAATTACGTTCGCCGGAATCGAAATAGACCGCACGGAGTACGGATTCATTATGCACCAAACGCGATTTGCCAACAACATCAAACAACTACAACTTGACTGCACGTTCAAACAGTACCGCTCCAAACGGCAGGAGCTCGCCTGGCTTGTCCATACCCGACCAGACATTGCCGCTGATGTCAATGTTGCCGCGCAAGTCGAGAGACATATTCATCAAGGACCCAGTCTCGGAATTCGAACTGGACCCTACGCAATGTCTTAAACTGCTCCGCCCCCTATATGGTCTTTGCGAATCTGGAGATCTATGGCACGCCACCCTCCACGCTCATCACCGAAACGACCTTGGCATGAAGCCTCTGCAAATAGAATCTGCTTTGTATGCATTCATGGTTGACGGTGTACCGAAGGGACTTTCAGAGCATCTCCACCGGCGGAGTCTAAATCCTAAAATCGCCTGCCACATGTTTTACGTTTACTGGTCAGCCTAAATTTAATTTTTGGGGCGATTCCCAAACGTTTTCTGCTCCACCGGTGATTGCTCATTTAGGAACACGCGATGCTTGCATCGCCAGAATAGTACCAACACGTGTGGTACACCTCACACGTGTTGTTGTGTCAAACAACCCAAAGAGAGAGGTCGGTATTTCTGATCGCGCTACCGCAGTGGAAAATTTCAGCTCCGCGGTGAAGCTAGACGCAAATGTCGTCGTCGGGGAGTGAGGAGGAAGTCTTTATCACCAGGGCAGTCGCGACGTCTGCAGCAATCGCTAATTAACTTGTCGCACGATCGCAGGAACGAAAACATGGAGGATCTCTGCCCGGAAAAGCTCCAAACGGAAATGAGCTTCGACACCGCATAGCAGTTCAAATCGACCGAAACTACTTTTGTAGATTCACACAAGGCGTGCCTTTCTTTTCAGATGCGGAATTTGAACGCCGCTTTCGAATGTCACGAGCCGTGTACGAAGAAGTTAGAGATGCGGTCTTGCAAGCAGACGACTACTTCGTTCAAAGCCGAGATGGCACTGGCAGGTTGGGAGCTACCTCAGACCAAAAGATCATGTCAGCGCTTTGACAGCTTACGTGTGGAATATCCGCAGACGCTGTGACTGAAATAGTCGGGCTAATGGAGTCCAGCAACGCTGTATGCCTTAAGCGTTTCTGCGAGGCTATAGTTGATACATATGATGCAGAATGGTTGCGGTCACCGGATGAGCATGAGATGCAGGAGATTGAGGCTGCTTACAAGACACTGGGATTCCCAGGATGTATTGGCTGTCTCGACTGTGCCTCCTGGGAATGGGACAAGTGTCCGGTCGGATGGCAAGGAATGTACAAGGGAAAAGATAAGAACCGGTCTGTCGGATGGAGGTAATATGTGATGACCGTTTGTATATTTGGCATGTCATGTTTGGAAGTCCGGGTTCTAAAAATGATATCAACATTATGCACCAAAGTCCATTGTTCAACTCTATCAGGACAGGGGCATGGCCCCCTATCAGACCCGAGACAGAGGTAGCTGGGATGAAACTGGATTGGTGTTATTACCTTACAGATGGGATTTACGCGCAGTATAGAATCTTTATGTCATCAATAAGTGAGCCAGTCACGAAGAAGGAGAAGCTATATTCTTCATTCCAGGAGGGAACACGTAAGGCAGTCGATAGAGTTTTCGGGGTTCTTTTTCAACGCTTTCGATTACTGTACCAACCCTCAAGACTTTGGTACAAAGAAGATATGACCCCGATCGTGAGAGCGTGCTGTAGTTTACACAATAAGATTGTCAAGAGTAGACTTCATACGTACAACGGAACGGCAGCTTTGAGGTTTACAGATGAGGAGACTACTCTTCCAAGTGATATTCAAATTGTATCAACAGGAGAAGGAACTTATGAGCAGGCAACGTTCTGGCGCGAATACATTGATCCCATTGAGAAAACTACAGAGCATGTGAAACTGAAGAATGCGCTCGCTGAGCACATATGGAATCACGTTGGAGACGAAAGTGATTCAAGTCAGTGAATTAGTTGCTGCACTCTGACGTATGTTGTAATTTCTCAATCGCCCGTCTAGGTAAAGTACTGCGCCCTTGTCTCATTATTCCGCCTACACAATCTCACTATCGTACTCCCGAGGCGGTTGAGTGAGCATTTCAGAAAGGCTAAGACCACGTGGGCCAACACGGTTGGGGAATTCAGCCTCAGAATCTTCATCGTCAGTCATACTCTTTCCATTGCTTTCCACCCTCGCCCTTTTGGTAGTCTGGCCTGACCTCTCTGCGGGCCCAGATTCATGATCTGAAGTTTGTCCATTTATGGTTGGGGCTGAAGCCGGGGCTGACGTCTCGATATTATCGGGACTCGCCGCCTCTGACCGCTGCTCATTGACATCACGATTGGGAGGTATATCACGAGAGGCATCTCGAGATGACGAGCCACGGAGCTTGTTACTGCAGGTTCCTGCTATGCCCTGGGCATTATATCCCTCATTTTCTGCTTCATTCATTGACATTAAAAGCCGTTTGCGCAGTAGCCGCTTACCCATCATCCGTTCCTCGTCAGTTGCATCAGAATCCTTCGCAAAAGGTAGAGATTCAGCCATATTCCAGTCCAACCTCCTCTTTGCAATTAACAGTTCGCGCTCCTTGGTTGTCGCTTTG